TCTGGTGTGCACAAAACATGCCGCTGAACGGACTCAAAATACAGTTTTCACAAAATCTTACTACCAAATGATGTTTAACATACAAACATACCCTTATTGAAACATTTATTGAGATTTAGTTCAAATTAAAGGAATTGCTGGTCAAAATTTCATCTGAGCTCCATATGTGCTGAAAAGATCCATAGGTGCATGATATAAAAATCATCAACATAATAACGGATCATTCATATAAAGCAATAAGTGTTTTATTATTTTGTGTATTAATATTCGAATCCTAAGTCGAGCTTGAATAACATTATCCAAAAAAAAAACCCAAAAAAACCCCAAAACATTAGATATACTAAAGGCATTGATTATAGCTATGTTTGGAAGTCCGTTACTATTTCAAACGTACACATAATTTTTTATGGTAGCTTCAATATTGTCACTTACGTTTGAGGAAGTAAAGAATCGCCCTTATCACTTGTTTCATTAAAATCATTTCGAAATATTATGTTCGTGAAGTTGGCAGCCCAGCAGCCTAGCAGCCTAGCAGCCTGAAGTTGGCAGCCTAGCAGCCCAGCAGCCTAGCAGCCTGAAGTTGGCAGCCTAGCAGCCTAGCAGCCTAAAGAATACTAAGAATAGTACAAACATGAAATCTTCGGAAATACATTAGTAGCACTTCTTTAGATCATTCCACGCCTTTTCAATATTGTGATCTTTATTTTTTTAAGATGTTGAACTTTATCTTAACATAACTTTTTCATTCTGACGCTTCTAAATTTTTTTAAGTTAGCAGCCTAGCAGGATAGTACAAACATGAAAACCGTCGGAAATGAATTGGTAGCAAATACTTAGACCATTCCACGTCTTATTTCAGTATCGCATACTTCATTTTTTTTAAATAATTAAATTAGTTAAATTTAAATATTGAACTTTGTTTTTTGTTGTTTTTGTTGTTGTTTTTTTGACACTTCGAAATTTGTGAAGTTAGCAGCCTAGCAGCCTGGCAGCCTAGCAGCCTTAAGAAAACTAAGGCTAATACAAACATGAAAACTTTCGGAAATGAATCGGAAGCACACATTTAGTTTATTCCACGTCTTATTTCAGTATCGCGATCTTTATTTTTTTAAATATTGAACTGTGTTTTTTTTTGACACTTCGAAATTTGTTAGCAGCCTAACAGCCTGGCATGTTTGTATTATCCTTAGTTTTCTTTAGGCTGCTAGGCTGCCAGGCTGCTAGGCTGCTAGTTCAATATTTGAAAAATAAAGATCGCGATACTGAAATAAGACGTGGAATGGTCTAAGTATGTGCTACCAATTCATATCCGACGGTTTTCATGTTTGTATTATCCTTAGTTTTCTTTAGGCTGCTAGGCTGCCAGGCTGCTAGGCTGCTAACTTCACAAATTTCGAAGTGTCAAAAAAAACAACAAAAAAAACAACAAAAAACAAAGTTCAATATTTAAATTTAACTAATTTAATTATTTAAAAAAAATGAAGTAACTTCACAAATTTCGAAGTGTCAAAAAAAAAAAGTTCAATATTTAAAAAAATAAAGATCGTGATATTAAAAAAGACTTGGAATGGTCTAAGTATGTGCTACCGATTCATTTCCGACGGTTTTCATGTTTGGCTGCCAGGCTGCTAGGCTGCTAACTTCACAAATTTCGAAGTGTCAAAAAAACAAAACAAAAAAATCAAAACAAAAAAATCAACAAAGTGTCAAAAAAACAACAACAAAAATCAACAAAAAAACAAAGTTCAATATTTAAATTTAACTAATTTAATTATTTAAAAAAAAATGAAGTATGCGATACTGAAATAAGACGTGGAATGGTCTAAGTATTTGCTACCAATTCATTTCCGACGGTTTTTATGTTTGTACTATCCTGCTAGGCTGCTAACTTCAAAAAATTTCGAAGCGTCAGAATGAAAAAATTATGTTAAGATAAAGTTCAACATCTTAAAAAAATAAAGATCACAATATTGAAAAAGGCGTGAAATGATCTAAAGAAGTACTACTAATGTATTTCCGAAGATTTCATGTTTGTACTATTCTTAGTATTCTTTAGGCTGCTAGGCTGCCAGGCTGCCAGGCTGCCAGGCTGCTAGGCTGCCAGGCTGCCAGGCTGCTGGGCTGCTAGGCTGCCAACTTCAGGCTGCTAGGCTGCCAGGCTGCTAGGCTGCCAACTTCACGAACATCGAAATATTTCGCCTGTTAGTACAATGTTAATATGTGGCATGGATCGTTGTCGTCAAAGTGTACCTTTATTTTATAGAATATTACGCGGATACCATTTACAAAACTGAAACTAAAACGGAAACAGAATATCAACCAGTATAACACGTTACTTCTATTCACCAATATCTTCACGAAAACTTCCTAAAAATCCGGAACAAAGATTGGTAATTATAGAGAAAAGTCAGGAGGGTAGAATCACATTTTGAGTTTCTTTAAAAGAAAAACCTTTGAAATTTATATAAATGTTAAAAAGTTGAAAACTTACCCTGTCTACAAAAAAAAAAGTTATGCACATGCTCCGCTTCAAAATACGACTTAACTTAAAAGAAAAATGAACATTTAGGAGGAAAATTACGTTGCTAAACACTACGAGCAATGGTTCATTGCAATTTTAATCCTCTATAAATATTTCTGAATAGCGTTTTAGTATTTCATGTTCCGAAAAAACGTCACATTATAGCTACAATATCACTATGCTCTATTACATGACTGAGTGACCGAAATTTTGCTGCCCCTTTAACTTTTGAACAGGAATGACTAAATAACGCAACGGAGATTTTTTGGCAAAAATGGCACAGTTTGATTTTCTTGAAATAGTGTGGTGGGAGGCATGCAGTTTGATAACATAACATAAATTGTTCCCTTTCTAGAAAAAATTTCCATGATGCGTAAAGAAAATGTCCATTTCTCCGGCATATAATTATTGGTGATATGATTGGTTTGCAGTGAATATAGTTATTGGTGATATGATAAGTGAACAAAATTCATGACGATGTGATTAAAGTACAGTTAAGCATATTGATGACGGTATGATAAATGTTCCGTGAATTATGTATCCGTGACATGATTAATGCTGTAGGGAACAATATGTGCTCAGTTTTTAGCGATTTGATAAGTGTTCAATGAAAATATTATTCGCGATAAATACTCAATATACAAAAAAAAATGTTTTTGGCTATATGATTTATAAGTTTTAAGTGATCAATAATCTTGGTGATATGATAATTACTCAGTATTTAGGTTCTTGTGATATGATATTAAGTCCTCGATAAACAAAGTTCTTAGAGATGTGATAAGTGCTTTGTGAACAGTCAACAGTCATCGTGGTGTTATGATTAGTGCACAATGAACAATGTTCATGACGATATGTTGGGTCTTCATTGATTTTTTACCATTTTTTTGGACATGTGACAAATAAATTTTTTTATTCGTTTAGATGCAATGCTAGATTTATTATGCTCACATAATATGATTATCGTTCAAAACATTTAGTAATAAATAACAATTATTCAGTAACCACTATTTTCAAAGTGGTAAATCTTTAAAGAAGCCAAGTTACAAGACATTGTTTCGATGGGAAAAATGTAACGAAATAGTCAGTGAGTTTTCAATGTGTTCAAATTTGATAATGATGTCAAAACATGTTATGACAATCACGAGTGATCACGGAGTACGAAACGGACCACAACCACTTGCTCACATTTATTCGACAATGAAAAGTTTGTAAGTCAAATCTAGTCGTTACAGTTTGGATGAAGCTTCTTAATCCAATATGGTGTATAAATTTGGCAGTTAATATTATTTTTATCATGTTGTCGGTGTTGCCTTTCATCAGTGTTTGTCACTCTTGCCATGACTGGGAACTGTATTTTCAAAAGCCTAAACGAATACAGCTTTCGATGAGCTTACTGGCATAATAAAGACGTCACTGGATAGAACAGCTCAGGTTAATGATTACGGTATAACAAGGTAGTAATAACCAGAATAAGTTTACATAACAATAAATAAGTAATAGAAAGAGCATGGAAACACGAGACTATCTGATTTGTACGAGGGGGCGTAGCCCCCGAGTGTTAAACAGATTGTCGAGTGTTTTGATGTTCTTTCTCTTTTGTATCATAGTCAAACAAACAAACAAACAAACAAACAAACACCCTCCATGTTGTCATAAAATAAAACCCCAGAAAAAGTAACCAATGAATGAGCATCTGAATATGAAATTTCTATCGCCCCCTCTTTCTCTGCAGTCACAATAAGTAAACCCCAGCAAATATGAGCCAATCACTAGGCATGCTATGGAGTGCGGGTAACTAATACTGTGCATGTATATGTATACGGTTTAACTCTGACATGTTTTCAACAGAAAGGTGCAATTAAAACACTGAACACTTTCAGAAAAGTGAACATCAATACTTAATTGACACTAACATCAATTTTCAGAAAAGTTTAAAATTAGTACAACCATCCTACAAACGGTCTGGGTCAGGTGTAATTTTCCTTTACAAATCTCCACTTATATGTGACAGGTGGCCGAATAGTTAAGGTGTCTGCCTCTCCAAATAAGATACAAACTTTCATCTTTTAAATCAAGCTAACATAAAAAGTCTCAAACTATGCTGTGAGTTCGAATCCCGACAGTGACTTTGGATTATTTCATGTGAGGAAGCTCTCCAGCCAGCTAACAGAACGTTACGTCGATGTTTCGGTATTTCTACTCAGCTGCCCCTTCCTGCCGGAAATAATAAATGCACTTGGGTACCCTGCGGTCTTCCTCCACCTGTTAAAGCCGGAAAGTCGCCATATGACCTCTTCTGTGCAGGCGCAACGTGACTATCCTAATATTCTGACAGACAGACACTGAGAGAGTGGCAAAGGACATTTTCCATAAACAGTAAATACAACCACAATATTCTCGGTGTTAATATTCATCACATTATCTGTTTTGTTGATACATTAATTTACTGTTCACTAGCAAAAGAACAAAAACAATCTTTCTCAATTTTAATATAAGACAACAAATTTTACAGCAAAGTTATCGCCGACCAGCAGCCATGTATCATACATATCATTATCATGATTAAAGTACCTCTAACAAAAACTGTAAATAAAAGGCATAAATGCATAGAATTAAAAAAGAAAATGCACGTTATCGTCTACTTTAAACTTTAAGCAAATGATTGTCAAGGATCTTTGAAAACTAGAATCAAAATAAAATTAATAAAAAGTACATTTAGTGAGTATAAACAATTACTACAAGATGACAACGTCTTGATTTTTCTAATACAAGATTTGCAACACAGCGTGCCATACACATCACAATCCAACTCCGTAACAGTCTTCATTTCAGCACAAAGGGAGGGAACTTTGTCACCATAATCGCAGCCTACAATCATTAAAATAAGTTTATCAATACATGCACTAAAAGTACCTGTACAATACATATTGATGTGTTTGCGTTGCAAAATTTGACACGTTTTACACAATATTCGAGAAGGCGTCTTCAAACATTGACTTGTTCACATTTTTATTGTTCACGTTTTTTAAGAGCTTACTAATTCATGCTTTGACTCGTTCACATTTTGACTCGTTTTTATTTTTATTAATTTACGTTTTCACTCGCACGCTTTTTTTCCGTGTTCACACGTTTAAACTCGTTGTTATCATAACTTCTTCGCGTTTTAATCCAACTTCCCTTAATAACTAATTAATTGAATTGATCACCATTTGAATCGTTTTTTAATTTTGACTCGTTCAAGTTTTAACAAATTAAAACAAATAATTCAGTTAATACGGGTTGACTCGTTCACGTTTTGACTCGTTCACGTTTATCTTTGATAACGATTGGACTCGTTCACGTTTATCTTTGATCACGTTTTGACTCGTTCACGTTTATCTTTGATCACGTTTTGACTCGTTCACGTTTATCTTTGATAACGATTGGACTCGTTCACGTTTATCTTTGATCACGTTTTTACTGGTTCTAGTATTGAAATGTCAATGTTCTACAAATTTATAATTTGACTAATTTACGAAGTTTTGCCTTTTTCATATATGGACTCACTTATTATATTTCACCATGTTCATATTTTATTTGGTATATATCCCAGTTTGTATGTTTACAAGACGCATTCATGTTTTGACTCGAACACGTGCTCTCAATGACACGTTTTGAGTCAGGATTGATTACTTTGGGACATATATTTAAATATTCCAGGAAATAATAACATTGATACAACCAACGTCTTTATTTTATTTTAAATTCAGCGAAGTATATAAAAGCATAAATGTGTCTGTGCGTTCGTATATCTATAATTTTTTTAATTAAAAGTAAACTTTATATTTTATGAGTTTATTAGATGAACGCTGCGTCTGCATTGCGTCTAGAAAAATTAATAAACAAAACAAACAAAAGTGATAGCCTTTGAGAGAAGTATAGAGGCCAGATTATATATGTTCAGGATACTGTTGGTAACTCATTTTTTTGTATGAAATCCTTTTAAACTTTGAATTAAAAAGTTGGCATAATTATAATACACATTCAGCAGGTTGTGTATACTGACTGCACAAGCTTGTAAAATGTACACTTTTTTCATATTGTATTATCTGTTGAATATCTTTTGCGATTAAACATTATTATTTTAGGTAAAGACAAGCTATAAAGAATCAAGAACCTTGACCTTATTTTATTTACGAGCTCTTATTTCTTGTTTATAACGTTTTAGCAATATTCACTGTCTGAATGTAATCTATGTCATGTGCTAGAAAAGTATTATTTTTGTAAATTGTTTAGCGAGCACGTGAACAGACAGGAAGATAAGAGAATTTGAATCTAAATTGTCTCCCTTATTTAAATGCATATTGCATTAGTGATGCCCAGTTGCATTATTTGTTGAATAATCGCGAGAACTAAACAATGTCTTCCAACACAATCATTTATCAATAGTCGTTGTAGACCGTGATTGATATTTATATAGTTGTTTCTCCTGTAATGTTTATACGTTCCATAAAAAGATCTACTTTACTGGTGATAATTACCCTCAGTCTGCGATTTAATCATCTTGCAGCTTTGACAACACTTAGCAGAGGTAACGTTACTGTAGCAAACAAACGAACCACGTGACCTAATATAATCCGGACATGAAAATGCAGATGAATCTGTGCATGTATGTGAATTCCATTTGGCCGTTGTGACAGGACGGTGTTCTTCTATTGGTAATTGTGCCTGAGTGTCCGTAGACGTTATCACTTCACCTACAATAGTAGAATAGTAAATACTAGTGAGGTATGTGCTAACCTTAAACTCTTAAACAATAATGATGCACGATTGTAAATAGCAATACGCATTTTTTACATGTAGAATAACAACATGAAATAAAAATTATCTTTACTTCCATTTTACACTGTGTTGCCACACGTCACAATTCTTCATACAAAGGAATAGAGATAAATAAAGTCAAATACTTACAAATTCACATAAAATACATTCTGCAAACATCATTTATACCACATTGCACAAATTACAAAAAAAATCAACAACAGAAGTTACTATATGTTCTGTAAATTAATCTTAATGCTGACCTATGTTGCAAGTTCCACAGCACTCTGTCTGTATATCACGTGATTCGAAAAAATGTGAGCAATGCCAAGACCGACATCCTTGTATTCTGTTACCATACTCGCAGCCTGCAATGTTTTATCATTCAACTTAAACCCGTCCTTTATAACTGAAAATCGACAGCTCTATTATATAAACACATTTTCTGACTATGGCAACTTGAACATAAAATTTCCTTTTCTTTATCTGCATACAGCAAAAGTTACCCCTGATTGAAAGTGTGTATTGCCATTAAATGACGTTTTGTCATATGAATGAGTGAAATATGGATATTTTATACTATTTTGCAGACATGATATAGAGTGACCATGCTCTTATCGGATAGTAAGTCAGAGAGCAATACAAATATATGCCATTAATTGTAATCATAGAATTGTACTAAAACGATATTCGCACAATTATCGATGTTTGTCGATATTTATAAAATATTCAATTTAACAATCCGTGTTTGACACTTATCATCCTTTAAATATATAAACTGAAATACAAGGGGTAATCTACTGTAGAACTGTATGTTGAGAACTGGCTGTTCTCGGCCAGAACCGTAACAAGGATTTTGAAAAAAAATGGGTCGTGCACGAAGATTCGTGCATCCGTGCAGTCTGACCAGGCTTTATACCGTTCGACGACCAACACATTCTTATCTTAATATACCCAAAAGTGATAACTGTATGCAGAACGTCATTTCATAGAGAAATGAATAAAGAATCATTTATTAATACATTGTTTTTGAAAATATAATAAAAAATTCTGGTCATTATTTAGTTTGAGCTACATGTAGTGTACCTATAATCTTTTTATTTTCATTTTCATTGAGGCTAGCGATTATCCATCTTCCTTTGGTATTTACAAGTTCAGAAAAGTCTGATTACATGTGTATAACATTTTTTATGATTTTTATGATTGTTTAGCTCCAGAAGAACATTACACGATCATATAGTTATATTGTAATCACATATCTACCTGAAACGTAGTGGCATTTCATCATTTTTTTGAGAAATATGTCAAAATATTCAATAAAAACGGGATTTAACTCGGCAAAGTAGAACTAGAAATGTGTCCATAAGACGAGGATGCCCCAAAATTCCACTGTTTTGTCAGTTTACAAGGGCAATAACTATCAACATTCCTGTAAAGTTTGGTGTCCTCAGCTCAAGCATATTTAGAGCTATACGTGACACAATATTTTGGAACGGGCGGACAAGGGCAAATCTAAATGCCCTGTCCAATATAAGATTACCACAATTATAAACAAATAAGAATTAAGTAGTTTGACACTTTTTGTATGTAGAAATGTTAAAGCTGTAACATAATGCTCCTCTCTTCGTTTTCCCTATTCAGTAAACAACCTTTAAACTGAACCATCAGTCCAACCTTATGATCAATATTTACATTTTCACTAGTACAATGTTGGCACTATTGATGTCATCAAATAATACAAGTGATAAATGGTCTATATAAAACACAATTACAATGTAACGTATGTTAAACAAATATAGGTACTTTAAATAATACACTCAGTTGTCACATTATTCTCTCTTTTGTTCCCTTTTTATTTCTGGGGGTGGGGGAGATAAGTCACAACGACATTTTGTACAGGTCATAGGTCATATGGCGACTAGATGTACTGGTGACGGAAGACCTCATGTGTCCCATTATTTCAGGCACGAGCGGGCATCCGAGTAGAATCACCGACGTTCCGTAAGCTAGCTGGATAGCTTCCTAACATTAAAGAATCCAAAGTCTCTGGCGGAAATCGAACCCACCACGTTGAGAGCAACGAATCCCCTTCCCAACTTGTGTAAGTTAATAACACATCTGTTTATTCTTCATAAAGTTATCAATTTTTGAGAACTTATAGACAGCGGCATTAAAATGGTAAGGAGTTAAGAAAGTAAGTACATGTGCACTTATTAAATCTACCTTTCTTGTAAGTAAACTTTGACCAGCAAGAGTTACAACATCTGGATCTGACTTTCTCCTGGTAGCAGTAAGATGAAGATTTGGCTATCAACTGTTCGCATGTCATAGAATTAAATGCTGCCCCGGGCTGATCACCAAGAAGACATGGTCCTTAAATATACAGATACAACATTTATTAATACTGCAATACCACAAGTCTGCATATCAATATACCCAAGATTCTTTATACTCAGACTAATTTACTAAATTTACTTACATGTTCAATTTCAAATTGGAGGAATTTGTTGGTCTTTGTATATGAATATATGGTTGAACTTGTACTTCACTGCATGAATTAATATATTATATTAAAGAATTGATGCTTCACACTCTTCTCTTAATAGCTTAACGTCAGAGTTTTTTTTCTGGTGAATAACTCGAAATGCAATAATTAATTATATATAGATTTATATAGATAATACTGAATATTATCTTACACTCAATAAAGACTATTTCAAAATCTAAGGTCATAATGACTTCACTAAGTAATGACAGTTAAACCATTTATGCTTAAAAAGTTGTATGAATACACTAAGGAGATAGTAAATACTGATCAATGTATACAAAACTACCCGTAAGGAATTTAAAAGGAAGAAGACAACATACTGTATGTGTATACTTGTTAAAGGATAGTTATGTGATAAGTATCACTGAGGCCGCCATCGACATAAAAACTAAATCGATGGAAACAAAATATTACTGATTACAAGTTGTAAGTCATCGACCTTTTCAATGTAAAAAAGTATTGAGTACTTCATTTTCATATGGAAAGTTATTTGAAATTGATAACGTGACAAAGAAAACACGTTTCATAATTGACATAGTATGGGAGATGTTTTTTTTCTGTAGAAGTGTGTACAGTACAGCGACACGTACACATTTAGGTGTCTATATCTCATGTTACAACGGCTCCGAGGGAAAATATATAGACATTATAAGTGGCATAAAGTTTTATAAAACAACAGGATATGGTTACCATTGGAATTTAATAGGCTAAAAATATTCCACGTCACTGTTGGAGAAAAAATTACAAGATATCTTTATTTAAAATATCAAATCAAAATTCAAATGAAAACTCCAGAAAATATCATTATGTAGTATAATCCAGGGTGGTTTGGAGTTGGGCAAATTTTATGAAAAAAGATGTCTCGCTGGGTCACGTGATTAGGTTATCTACCCACCGTGACCTTTGTGTATCACCGTTAAAAAATCAAATTATAAGATCATGTTTTGTTAAATTGATAAAAAAAATACTGTAAACTAATCCTGGCTGCATTACATTATCAGCTTTTATTTTAAAAAGTAACAATTTTATAGATTTGCGATGAAATTAGGAATTTTTCGTTCCCGGCGTCAAGGTAAAAATCTACTGCTTATATTTGAAAATAGGCTCGAGTTTCATAAGATATTTTTTTTTAATTTATGAATTGTTATGAAAAAGCCTTATAATCATAATTGGAATTTAGGTGAGCTTCGTTTGAAGATTGTTAATTTGATAAGACCAACCATATGATTTCATAAAAATACATAAAGAGTTATATCACAAATTTTGATCTCACCTTGTTTGTCCGGGGCTTTTGGGGAATACACACAATGACCGTCCATACACCACTAAAAAACAAAAACAAAACTATTATCTGACATGAAATATTACAATTCTAATAACATTCCATACACTACTGCAAAAAAGAAAAAGGGAAGGATGTTGCGTCGTAAGATGTATGGATATTAATCTTAAGATGGAAATATGAAATATTTATATGTGCAAGTGTTTAGGTTTTATTGGTCGACTCAAAATTCCATTATTTATTTCTGCTTCATATAAACACAATATCATTCCAATTTACCACTGTTCTTGATACAAAATGTTTAAAGTACATGACGGTCTCAAGATTCAACGAGTAAACATCAATTACCAAACCAACACGAAGGAAATCATCCCTTTACAAGAGGCGTACACAAACACAAGATATCACGTTGCTAATTCGCACGTGAACTGGCCCTCAGTTTTCAAAAGACCTTTCCTTCAGATTCCGTTTATACATGAGAATATAATATCAAGCTATTTGCAATTTGCACTGAAACACAAATGTTAGAGCAATTTGTGAGGTATATACATAAAGTGCTACTATGACATATTAATAAACTTCTTGTTGTGTAAATATGAAATGTGGATCAATATAAATAGTTATAGAGTCAGAAAAATATTGCCATGCACGGTATATATTAAACTGTGCATTGTTCTTTAGATAATGTGTACCTGTTTATTGCCGCATGTGGTTCCTCGTGCAGCAACATGGAGGACACAATCACTCTCTGTAGAGGGGTCTCTACAATACATGGCTGTACATATTGTACTGGCGTTACCAAACTCGGAACCCTGTACATGTTAAGAAAATGATGAATTATTATAGGCAGGAAAATACACAACATATCTTGTTAACATATTACGAGTATCGGTTTATTGATAATCACTTATTTATAATAGCGAAATAAACTTTGTATGTTTATGACGTAGCAAAATATATATAGGTCTTTAGAATATATATATTATAGACCTTTTTACAATACGATTTTTCAATAGTAACGAATATTGCATTTCGCTCATGCACATCTTGCGTAAGACAAAAAAACCGCACTAACGAAATACTACATTGTATCATACTTAAAGGCTTTAGTAGACGTGAATTTAGTTTCAGCATGGCCATAGCTGACACATTTTTAGATCTTGATCCGAGAAAACCTAAGTATAAAAACACAAGAATATTCTAGCTGAAAAATGTTTTGTCTTATTATATATGTCATTAGTCTGTTAATTGTAACAAAAGTGCGATAAATAAATGTGATATGATATTACTCGTACAAAATAAAACAAAACAATCAATGATAATAACTAAAGTTATTTAAAGTTTATTAAGTTTACAGTTTCCATCTAATGGAGAATATAACATCATTCTAGTGAACGCTGGTATTCACTAAAATGACTTAACTTTTATTTAACCTGTATCGAAACTACCATAGCTACATCACTTTAAAGAACATATGTGCAACAACATGGAGTAGTAGATGAGAAGTTATGAATATAATCATTGCTAAACCAATAACAGAAAATTAGAGAAACCTAGATGAAACTGACCTACTTCACAGAAATAAGCTACTGTAAACTTACTTGTTGACACACAAGTACATCTAATCATTATAAACCAAGATTAGAAATAGTTGATAACATACCCGACATAAGTAAGAGGTTGGTCCCCAAATCATTCTACATTGATCATCTGGTGTATAATCTTGTCCTGGTAGATCTAGTGTGCTGTTTACCACTTCTAATATATCAGTAACATTTGGCCTTTTAGAAGTCAAACATGTTGATCCTTCTCTAATGTAAATAAGGAGGAAAAGAATCTTGGCTTTTGTTAAATTTTACACATTTTACAATTTTAGAATAGTAGTCCTAATCAGGTCAATTCTAAATTGAAAAAAATGATATTACAATCAATTGTCGATTATAACTGCATGACGCTAATAGTTGGAGAACATTTTGTTAAAAGTGAATGATGTTACAGTAGTGAAGTATAATAAAGTAAAAGATAAGTATGCAAAGTTAAAACATGAAAGCAGAGATAGATTTATAGTGCCAGCACCGTCAGTCTCTCAGAGAATACTGGGACTGTTTAGATCTAAATTGATGTTATCACTAACGTATTTTAGCTGGCTTCAGCTTAGTATTGTGTAGTCCATATAGGTAAATCAATATGTACATGACAAGCAAAATGCAGACAAATAAGCGATCACTCTATGTATATAAAACTATTATACTGTATCACGTAAGAATTTACAATGTGGTGTTAACCTAAGTAAATAAAATATACTTACAATAATAAAGAAGTAATAAATTCTTTGAAGTAGTCTACAGAGCAACGGGAGAATATCCACGGATGATATTTTTTGTTGTTTGGAACTGGTCCGAAACCTGATGCAGCCATAATGTATCGATCCACAGAGTGACATGTATTGTTCTCTCCGTCATGGAGTGCCCCAAGACTAAATTTACAACAATTAATTTATCCATTTTATCACAGAGTTGAAGTTATATACCGTTCTTTTAAAAGCAAATAATAACGTAATCAAAGAAGTTGTAAAAGTTCAGAACAGAATATCCTTTCCAGACTTCTGTATGCCTCCCCCTCCCAAAAAAAATATATAAAAAAAATCAACGTTTTACTAAACTTAGAATGACTTAATGCATATTCCATTAGTTAGTTATGTTGTTTTTACATTTTATCAATGATACAGAATTATAAATTACTATTAGTGTTATCCTACTATACCTGTGTCCAAGTTCATGAGCTGCTGTTCCAATACTTTGAAACCCTCCCTGTTCCTCAACAATAGAAACGCTATCACCCGGTTCACACAGTGTTCCAATAAAAGCTAGTCCTGCAATATGTATGTGGCAAAAAATACAACACAAAGAACTAAATAAACTACAGAGAAAGTACTAAGAAATCAAAAAAAAGGAAAAGTTTGATCTTACTGCTGGAAACGCATTTATAAACGTGGTGACAATATATTATGGCTTCAAAATACATTATATATTTGGGCGTAAAATGGTAGTATAAATATGACTTGAAAAAGTTATTTCAAAAATACTAGGCCTAATAAAAACAAGCAAATTCGTTGAAATGATGTTCTCATCCGCCGAATGTTACAAATCATTTGAGTTTATATATACATCAGACCATTGTCATTATACAATCTGCAGCAGTAAACAAACAAAACGACTGCCTTTTAAGATAAAGCATGTTAATGCTAGATTATCAAATTCTCTGTAATTGAATTAGACCAGGAATAAACATATTAATTTAAATATAAACGCTGATTTATTTAGCTATACTGATTGTGAGACATACATTTACCAATTGATTACAGAATTTAGTAAAATAATTCTTGCAATTACTTTTAAGATCCTAAAATATAAAACATTAAGTACAATTACATATACTACTTGACTTTAAGATAAGCACTAGATAGAAATTGATTATGAAAAATTACAACCTGCAATAACTGGTTTGAAAAAAATCATTAGAAAAAAGTTATAGAAACATTAAAAAAGAATTCAGTATTTTTTTATTAATAGGATCAATCCGGAGAGATGCAGTTCTTTAACATTGTATTTCTTAAAAAATTTTTAAAGGGCACCTAATCCAACATTATTCAATAGAGAAATATTGTTTTGATGCACTACAATTTTCCTCCATAAGATTTACCCATTTGTGAAGTTTTTAATTTAATTGAATCTGGTACTTTTAGTTATACGCAGAATAAAAGTTTAAATTAAAATATAGGGCAACAACATTTTGGGGTATGGGCCTTTTCCTTTCTTTAAACTTAAACCAGTAAAAAGACCACTTAAACCGACAGTTTTGTAGTTTTCTTCTCTCTTGTTTTTAACTAAAGTCATTGACGAAATAAATTTCATAAATCATTGGATGTTTTCCCAAACAAACAGACAGACAGACGGATGGACGGAAAGAATGCCGAACGTTCAGACGGACAAAGCCAATAAAATTCCTCCGCCTTGTCTGTAGTAGGATTATAGAAACTTACCTGAAGTATGTGATTGTTTCTGTTTATCCTCACTAGTCTTCAAGCTGTACAAATCATACCTATAAAATGTAATAAATAAATAAAATACAGGTATCAAAGCGCTTCATATGCTAAGGTTCTTACACACATCGCATTGTAGTATTCGTGTTCGCTCATCATTTTTCGCTCATCATTTGTCATAACGACTTTATTACAAACTGAGAAAATAACTGTTTTATATACATATATATATGAACCGATAAATTTTACATCACAATTTTATTATATTTGAGATAGAACGTATTGTAGAATTGTATGATTTATAGAGGTATCTTCTATATTTATATATATTGTATGATTTAAAGAGGTATCTTCTACATTTATATGTATTGTATGATTTACAGAGGTATCTTCTACATTTATATATATTGTATGATTTATAGAGGTATCTTCTACATTTATATATATTGTATGATTTAAAGAGGTATCTTCTACATTTATATATATTGTATGATTTAAAGATGTATCTTCTACATTTATATATATTGTATGATTTAAAGAGGTATCTTCTACATTTATATGTATTGTATGATTTACAGAGGTATCTTCTACATTTATATATATTGTATGATTTAAAGAGGTATCTTCTACATTTATATGTATTGTATGATTTACAGAGGTATCTTCTACATTTATATATATTGTATGATTTATAGAGGTATCTTCTACATTTATATATATTGTATGATTTAAAGAGGTATCTTCTACATTTATATATATTGTATGATTTAAAGAGGTATCTTCTACATTTATATATATTGTATGATTTAAAGAGGTATCTTCTACATTTATATATATTGTATGATTTAAAGAGGTATCTTCTATATTGATATATTCTACTCACCCTGTAAACAGAATAGCATGACTATGGTCGGGAAGTCCCTTTGTTTCATTCACCCATGTTCGAAACATTTTTAAGGCCGTATCAGCATCCATTTCAAGTGTCCCATTCAGTGAAGTGTTGCTGGTAGGTGGAGGATTAAATGTGGAGCCATTCACTGACGTATGTTTCTAGAAACAAAACCACACTGATGGAAAATGATCTTTTTTGTAAAAGTGATAATGTGTTGGGAATGCAAAAAAGTAGTCTTTCAAAATTTGAGATGGATTGCAAAACTTTTAATTTGGGTAATCCTTAGAAAAATCGTTATAAGATAATTTGCCTCGAAATGAAAAGATATATTTATTTGTGTAAGAGTAAATGCATTGTTCCAAATCTGTATTGGATGAAAGGATGTTTAAATATAATACATTGTAGAAAATTAACTGTTGTATTGGTGCATGGTAAATTTACCAACATGATAAATGTACGCACAATTATGATAATACGATAATACACATTGAAATATCCAATCATCCAGGGATTTCTATACAAATAAAGTAATAAGTAGATAAAAATAACTTCTCTTATAAAAACTCAGTTTTTCATATTTGCAGAAATAATATTAATTTAGATAAAAAAAATCATATTAATTAAAGAAGTATGCGAGTGTGCATGTCCTCTGTTATATAACAGCGTGTGATTGACTAACACAGACTTACGTCAATAATAACAATTCCTGACACACTGATTCTAATTTGGAAATCTTCAAATCCTATACTTTGATACCGAAGATCAATCTAAAACAAGAATTGGAAAATACTTTAAATGTCAAACAAGGTTAATATTTTGAGATATTCGGAATAAAATATTATGTCCAATATAGTACAATATTATATCTGTATGTTATAATATCTTGTGGATATCGAATTTCATCTCATAGTTAAAGTATTTGTTTTAATCATCTTACATATATAATTGGTGTTTCTTCTGTACACTTGTTAGTCAAAACTAAGAAATAACCTAAATAAGTAGAAAAAGGTATCAACTGTCTTACCCCATTTATCACATGAAGGTAGTATTTCTGGATTTCTGACTTTGCATGGAGAGATTTTTCCTTCAAATTACGACCAGCAGCGTTCGACATCCATCTAAATTATTGAAATTGAAGACATTTAGTTTTTTCCATTCATCACTAAGATAAAAAATATATGCATGTTACTGAGAAACATACAAGATTGTAGATTAACTAGATCTCAAATGCTAAAATAAAATGCATGCTTGGCTTTAATGTATTCAGGATGCAAAGGCTTTCTCCTTAGTAATATCACGGATCAATATAAATTCGTGGTAATATGATGTAACATTTATATTCCCACAAATGTCACCATTAAAAAACAAAATAAAAACTCTGTTTATAACGATATACTGATGCACTTACTTCGTATAAATATTGAAATCAACAACGACTAAAACGTCTATAGTAAACGTGAGCACATCATGCACGCGCATCACCTCGCGACGATCACGTGACAAATGTACTGTTTCCTGGACAGCGGGAAACCTGGATTTCTCTGCAACAAAGTAAACAAAGTAAAAAAAAGGACTTTCTATCAATAACGTTAAAAAAAACAAGTCAAATAAGTATATAATATTTGTTTTATAGATTTGTCTTTGATATACTTTTTTACAAAAAAGGCACTTAAAGCCACGGGGAATATGAACTCAAAAACAAACCTAAGACAGCACGCTTCAGATAATCATAGAGAAGCGTGTGTGTGAAGTTTCAAAAAAACTTTACAAAAGTTGCTTGTTCGAATTGTTATCTGAATGTTATTATTTGTTTCTTTACAATAAACAAAAGGAAAACATTTTTGATAATACGCTATTAAAGATAATTTAGTTTCGTCATTTTTGAAAAAGTGCCCTAATTCTAATAACCAAACTTAAGTTTAGAAGTGTTCATAACTCGTAAATCGTATGGTAAATTTTGTTACAGTTTTGCAAACAGGTGTCCTTTTAGGTATGTTGTCAATTTTTATGTTTCTTATAGTGCCCATTAAATACTCTCTAATTAAGTAATACAAACAAGCTTACTGACACATTTCAGTTGCAAATCAGCCGTCAAAATAACAAGACTGTTTTATTACAATTTTGCGGTTAAATGACATAAATAATTAGAGGCTGTCCATCAAATCTACGCATTGTTAACAACCAGTGGCATAACTACATGTAACACCAGCAAATAACTACAATAACTCGCTAGTTATTCTTTTTCTAACGTACCTTTGATCGTAATATACACCTTATACTTTTAAATTAAAGTGTAGATATGTACTTTCTTATGACGTTATAAGTGAGATAACTAAATATTATCACAAGTAATAGTTATATTAAATAACACACTCTTGCACGCGATTCAGAAAATAATCATTTTGGTAACCATTGGTAATGGACTAAGCTTTCCACAAAAAAAATCTTACCATGTAACAATTTGGAAAACTTTATTATACTATCATTTTATTTGCTCAACTTTACATTCGCAATATAAATAAGTATATTTAAAAGCATAATTATTTAACAAATGTAATCACGTATCTATTGCACAAACTTTATACAGATCCTCGTGAACGATTTTTGTATGAATTAATGTCTACCTACCTGATATTATGTAGTCATGTGTGTGTGGCTACCTACCTGATATACTATAGACATGTGTGCGTGACTACCTTCCTGATATAATAAAGTTATGAGTGCGTGGCTACCTACCTGATATGATAAAGTCATGTGTGCGTGGCTACCTACCTGATATTATGTTGTCATGAGTGCGTGGCTACCTACCTGATATTATGTTGTCATGAGTGTGTGGCTACCTACCTGATATACTATAGGCATGTGTGCTTGGCTACCTTCCTGATATAATATAGACATGTGTGTGTGGCGTCATACCTGATAAAATATAGTCACGTGTGCGTGGCTACCTACCTGATATTATGTAGTCATGTGTGTGTGGCGTCATACCTGATAAAAATATAGTCACGTGTGCGTGTCTACCTACATGATATTATGTAGTCATGTGTGTGTGTGGCTACCTACCTGATATAATAAAGTAAAGAGTTTGTGGCTACCTACATGATATAATATAGTCATGTGTGTGTGGCTACCTACCTGATATAATATAGTCACGTGTGTGTGGCTACCTACCTGATATTATCACACTGGCCATAGCTTTCGCAGAAGCGGTGGGTCTACCGGTGCGGCGATGGAGAATTCGTCGCAGAAGCGGTGGAAAAACATGGCTGTCGGATAGTTTTTTTGCTGGTGTCGGTAAGTTTATGACTTATTTGTACGTTATGTTTTTATGTTTAACTGATAACACCTAGTGAGACTGGAGCCCACATATGTACTCTTCCAACTTATTACACGCATGGGGTGCAAATCATGACCAGTTATGCAAACACTTATGTACAGTTTGACGAGGGGACGCCACTTTTGCCTAATTTTGTTTATACCACTACAAATGTACTCAAAACTACCCCTAGATACACTAGCATCGCATCGTATGTATTATAATTACACAAACCAACCATATTTTGGAACTTTTGGAAATTGATATTACCATTTTAATAAAAGAATTGACAAAAATTGATTACAACGCAGACGGCGGTGGATTCGATTGCAACGCAGTGCGGTGGGCCCGATATCATTTATGTCTTTTTTTTTTCACGTTAAAGTCACCGACACTTAGGAGTTGAGCTCCAAACACCTAAAAATACAAATGAAATATATATTTGTTAATCCTAACACATATAGTTGTTATATATATCAATGAAAGTAAATATACGCTTTTTTGCATCATGTACATTATAAATATGTTTTTATAAAACAATCCCTGTTTTAGATACTAGTGGTGTTTGTTAACTACATTTATCACACACCCGTCCCGATTTTGCGACTCCGTAAATATGGTATGGCACGGCCGTGCATATATTTTGACGTGACGTCATTAGCGTTATGCTAACATAGTGTAAAGACGCGCTAAATGTTAGCGTTATACTATAGGCGCGTCAATGAAAAATGACTCTTATTTCACTTTAAACGGTCTCTATTTTGGGTATGTGATAAATAGAATATTAAATTCGTGTAAGTTCATTACTGAATTTATTGCACTCGTTGAATAAATTAATATTATGCTCGCCAGAGGCTCGCATAATATAATTTTATTCAACTCGTGCAATAAATTCAGTAATGAACTTACACTTATTCAATATCCTCTATGTATAGGTTGTTTAAAAAGTAATTATAATGTATACATTAATTATAAAATTATCTTGTATTCTTTTTTCTATTTTCAATCTATGCATCATGTACCTTATCAATATGTTTTTATAAAACAATCCCTGTTTTTGATTCTAGTTTAAAATATTGGGATGTATGTTAACTTTGTAGTGCTTAAATGGTAATTTTAACTTATAAATTGAATTAAGAAATACTTAAAGTTTGTATTTTCTTTACAGACTATGCATTCATTTAACTTATAAAATGTCTTGATAAATTAAATTCTAGTTTGGACACTAGTTCAACAAATATGTTAACTATGTATCGCTGAAATGTTAATTATAGCTTAAACTCGTATATTGAATTTAATCTATCAATTTAACAAATCAAAATGTTTTTGTAGTTTAACACACAAGAGTCATCATTAACTATGTATTACTAACACATTGGTCATAAATTTATTTTGAACTTTATTTTTACTTATGAACGGTTTGTGATAAAATTTTAATACATTGATAAGATGAGATGAGATGAGATAAGATCTGTTGATAGTGACACTAATTATAGCTTTATTGTTTTATCTATTTTTTATTTATTTATTTCATTTTTTTAATATAACTTAACATGTTAACATTAAATTATATCAAATTTTTATTTAACATGTACAAAGTATAAATAGGCTGTATGTAATATAAAAATTATAGAATGCATTTTGAAATAAATATTACAAAATACCTGACAAAAAGGTAGACGAAATGTTGTTTATTGGCCTATGAGCGAATTGCACTGCACGCGTTCAAATTATCGTATATTTTTGTTTGTAAATTGTAATTGTAATCTTTAAGTCACAATTTAAATTTGTCGCTCTTTCGTTTTCGTTGCTTTTCACGGTCTGTCGTTCCTCCTTTGGTTGGACAGTTTGGTGGTTTTTGTTGTCCAACTTGTGTGTCATCTATTTATAACGTTTGCTACAATTGTTTTCTATATGAAAGCGTATTTGAAGTTTCTGGTTAATCTTTTGATTATATCATAATCTATTCCTAGACAATAAAGACGTCTGGCTCTGCCAGACATTATCAATCAAATTTCTATGTTTGTATTTTAACTCTACTGAGGATTGCACAAATTAACAAGGAGGAACATGTATCGTGGTAAAAGAAAAAAACATTATTTTATATACATTTCCAAACTTTTCATGAAAATAAACATGAATATTGAGGCATGCTGCTTTAAAATCCTAATAATTATATATTTATAAATTCCAGCCCATATACTTATCATATATTTCAATAAAACTTACATATATGCATGCTGTTTTGAAGAAAAAGTAAATATTTATACGTCAAAAATATACACAAGATAAAAAAAAATGTGTTAGAAAAAAATCGCACATCCTCCAAATCACCTTGCAATTGATTCTATTTCCAATATTTTCACATTATCATTTTGTCAACAGGCGACACGAGTCATCCATTAAACGTATATTACTGGTACTAATTATATATTTTTATCATATTTTTCTTTTTCAACAATATCAAACTTCATCTTCAATATACAAACACACTATGTGAAAAAATTTAAACTATCGCCGTTTTATTTATTTACAAAATATTTCGTGGTACTCAGTTCTGTCGTATTTAAATACGGTGCGCTATGAATGTGAGAACCCGCATTATCCCGAATGACTCCGATTATAGCAAGGCTGGTTCAAAGCGCATTTATATACAGCATATCTGAGAGTCATTTTGTTTTCAAAAAAGCGTATATTTACTTTCATTGATATATATATATAACAACTATATGTGTTAGGATTAACAAATATATATTTCATTTGTATTTTTAGGCGTTTGGAGCTTAACTCCTAAGTGTCGGTGACTTTAACGTTAAAAAAAGACATAAATGATATCGAGCCCACCGCACTGCGTTGCAATCGAATCCACCGCCGTCTGCGTTGTAATCATTTTTTGTAAATTCTTATATGAAAATGGTAATATCAATTTCCAAAAGTTCCAAAATATGGTTGTTTTGTGTAATTATCATACATACGATGCGATGCCAGTGTATCTAGGGGTAGTTTTGAGTACATTTATAGTGTTATAAACAAAATTAGGCAAAAGTGGCGTCCCCTCGTCAAACTGTACAGAAGTGTTTGCATAACTGGTCATGATTTGCACCCCATGCGTGTAATAAGTTGGAAGAGTACATATGTGGGCTCCAGTCTCACTAGGTGTAATCAGTTAAACATAAAAACATAACGTACAAATAAGTCATAAACTTACCGACACCAGCAAAAAACTATCCGACAGCCATGTTTTTCCACCGCTTCTGCGACGAATTCTCCATCGCCGCACCGGTAGACCCACCGCTTCTGCGAAAGCTATGGCCAGTGTGATTATGTAGTCATGTGTGTGTGTGGCTACCTACCTGATATAATAAAGTAAAGAGTGTGTGGCTACCTACATGATATAATATAGTCATGTGTGTGTGGCTACCTACCTGATATAATATAGTTATGAGTGCGTGGCTACCTACCTGATATAATATAGTCATGTGAGCGCGGCTATCTACCTGATATTATGTAGTCATGTGTGCGAGGGATATCTTTAATCTGATGCCATCGTGTAAGTATTATACCAAATTTTGATGACTGTTTTATTGTCTGTATGACAAATTCACTACCTTTGTATAAAATAACACCAGACTGAAAAGATAAATACGTGTACATGCAATATAATACTGTCTCACTAGAGATCATACTCGAATAATCTCACACAAAAAAATAACCCTGATATCTGATAGTACGTGACAGTATAAGGAAAATATAAGATATTGATTTGTATTGTCACAGGTATTGTGTGCTTGCAAAATATTCCGTGAATGTAATTGTCAAAATTAAGGTTATTAAGTACTGGGTTATTATAAAAATCAAAAAAGTTCTTGAATCATTACTTATTCGTTCAATAAATACATATATAATTATCGACTTACAAGATGAAAGTCTGTGGATTTCTTATCATGATCACACTGAACTATGAAATGACTGTCTGGAGAAGTACTCATGTACCTGATAATATTCTGAAAATACCAATATAATATTATATATATGTTATATATACATATATGTACGGAAGAGCATTAGTGCCAGGTGTATGTTTTTTATTCGAAATTTCGAGTTACTAACTCGAAATTTCGAGTTACTTATCTCGAAATTTCGAGTTACTAACTCGAAATTTCGACTTACTAACTCGAAATTTCGACTTATTAACTCGAAATTTCGAGTTACTAACTCGAAATTTCGACTTACTTATCACGAAATTTCGAGTTAGTAACTCGAAATTTCGACTTACATTGCACGACTTTCATTGGTTGCCGGTGAAAGCAAGGATTGAATTCAAGATACTTTCTTTCGTGTGTAGCTGTTGCACATTGACAGAGCACCTTTAACATTTATTTAACAGAACAATTTTATAGGGTCAAATTGTCCACACATACTGAACATATCCTTCGCTTTTTTGTGGAGGGGGGGGGGGGTTGTAAATCACACTTTCCACATTTCTGTGTTAACCGGGTGTTTCTTTTTCTTAAGCACACATACAACCATCATGTGGAGAAACAACAAGTCCAAAACCCACCCTATTGTAAACTGTGCAATATCATGTGTTAAATAATTTTTAATTGGCCAGTTAGTCTGTCACGTTTCTTTATACTAGTAATGTTTTTGTAACATTATTCATTATTTACTAATACTTTGATATTGTGTTGATAAAAGTTGATAAAAGTGATACTTGTTGTTATATATATGTTGGGAATAATATAAAAGCATCCGATTTTACAAGAAATATAGTCAGTCCAACAATTTTGACAAAGGCCTCAGCACGCCCAATTTTGGCCACGCCGCGATACTTTCCTCAGATGTCCCACACGTGAAGTATAGGATCGGTTTTTTACAGGGATGAGAAGAATATGATTAGTGAAAAGATATGTTCGAACAGATGGGATACAATACAACGTCTGAAGAACGCCTGAACGTACAAATTAAAGGAAGCCTTGTTTTTTTTAGGTCGGGTGTGTACATGCCATTACTAAGTTTAAGTTAAATTTCAATAGTTTTTGTCCAGGCACCCGTTTCTCCATCGCCATCGTTCAAAGGCACTGCCTACTATATCTTATACCATCTAACTAATAACTTTGGCCATTCTTGTAATGTTAATAATTCGAAATTTCGAGTTAGTAAGTCGAAATTTCGAGATAAGTAACTCGAAATTTCGAGTTAGTAAGTCGAAATTTCGAGTTAGTAAGTCGAAATTTCGAGTTAGTATGTCGAAATTTCGAGTTAGTAAGTCGAAATTTCGAGTTAGTAAGTCGAAATTTCGAGTTAGTAAGTCGAAATTTCGAGATAAGTAAGTCGAAATTTCGAGTTAGTAAGTCGAAATTTCGAGTTAGTAACTCGAAATTTCGAGATAAGTAAGTCGAAATTTCGAGTTAGTAACTCGAAATTTCGAGTTAGTAACTCGAAATTTCTAGTTAGTAACTCGAAATTTCGAGTTAATAAAAAACATACACCTGGCACTAATGCTCTTCCGTATATATGTGTGTGTAGTAACGATGATAGGGTTAGAAATTTTGGCATTGAATAATGTTACAAGTATGTTAAGCATTACATTGTTTCAAACTCAATGAAATACAGAAAATATTGTTAGAACGTTATCTTTATCATTCACTGCGCTATCATTCATCAGTGTTTCATGTGACGAATTAGTAATATCTTTTTTTCATTTACCTGTACACACATAACATATTGTATTGATTATGCGAGCAAATTATTGCTGTAAATTAGGGTTCAAGCATTAAAGCATTTGTGGTATTGCATTGGATATCACAAAATATTGACAAAATAAATGACAAAACGGGCTACCGAGGAGGTAGATTATATATAAGGCCGTACGCTACATGTGTGGCATATTTTACAGTTCAATAAAAAATGATCCCTCAGTGTAACAGTACATAAACTTGTCACGTCGTGACAATAATGAAAGTATAATACACATATTTATTTCGTTAATGGTTAACACGAATTGGCTATGTATGAAGGATGGTCAAAATCCGAACTTCTGTATAATCAATAAAACACAGGGACTTGTTTTTTTACAATTCTATTTCACATTTTAAATAGTTATACAGTTTCTATATATATATATATTGATTACTTATATAAGTTATTATTCTATCAAGCCACTCCCCCCCCCTCTTGACAAACTCACACATCACACATAACTAAAAACATTTGAATAAATCATATCAACTGCTGTCTTAACATGACTATAGCTAGTGTTGTTGTTTTTCTTAAACATGCAGAGAAATACCTGTTTCCTGGTTTCTGTATAGTCGTCCTTTCTTGGAAGTCTACTGAGTAAATATGCTGGTGGAAATCTGTTTAAAGCTGGGGGTTGCTTCCTTAAATAAACGATCATTTCATCTTGTCCAGACAATGCCATACGTATATTGAAATAGTCCGGATATCTGCACTGGAGTAATTGATCAGTAGCGTTAGTAAATATAACACCAACTCCATCGTGTCCTTTATATGCTGCAAATATATATGTTTTCATACAACTTTATATACAGCACAGCTAATGCAGAATATAGCATTGCAAGATCTCGATTTGCATATCAACTTAAAGTGAATTGGTCTATGGTAGGACGTGCAATACAATAAATAAATATGTTGGTATATATAGTATTTAGTATCAGGCATAACAACACACCACGAAATTATATCTAACATACATCATCTGATCTTACAAATATTTATAGCAGATAATATTTAAAACAAAATATTATTAGTCACAATATAAATGTACATACTAAAACACTTAGAAATTACATAACTTATTTTACGGAATATTTTATAGGAATATCCAAATAATACATTTCAATTGTTTTATGAGTTTTTGAAATTCTTATTGAAAATTGCCTATAATTGACCATACCACTTGAAAAAATGAAAAGAAAATCACATACAGCATTTAATTTAACATAATATTGTTTATCTAAATTAATTGTGTATATATCAAACTACAAGAACATGTTACCTTATCACATGTTTTGATCTAAAAATACATTTAATCATGATCAGCCACCGTCCTGTGAATTATATTCTGGACAAGTTTCATTCTAGAATACACAGGTTTTTATATCTTATACTGTTTAAATATAAATATAAGAAAGAAAAGTCATGAGCGGGAAATTATACACAGAAAAATCTAACATACTACTAACATAATGTCACATGACACGTGTTTGTTTGTCTGTTCAAGTTTCACCTTTAAAATCTAATAATAAAGACTAATAAGACACAATAAACCAAAAAACATGTGGACGGTATCAACACTTAAATAAGAAAAAAAACTTACCTTCGGGTTGACAATATCCGTTATCAGTGAAAGTTGTAAATAAAATTATCGTCAAATAAAATCGATTGAAAATTTTCTTATTCTTATACAGCAATTTATTGTCTTTCATTTTTTGACAAGCAAATAGCCCTGTTAAAATATTTTGATAATCGATTCTAAAATTATTTAGTTGTACTTTTTTTTTCTTTAAAATATACTCAATAGTGATATACAAATTCAAAACGCACTTAATTATAAGTTTATACAATAATACATTTTCATTATCAGTGGAATTTACAATTTTTACTCCTTCATGTACGTTTTCATTTTCAACTCTAAAAGTTCCGTTCGCGTCTTTTTACTAAATGTTCCTAGTATTTGTCCGTTATGTTAGTCAACAAGTCAAATCGTGTAGTTTTACATGCTTGAACTGCAAGTTCACATCACTTACAAGCTAAACCATTTTCTCATACAACAACTAAAAATGAAATATATTCATTGTGACAATTAGTGGTAAAAGGACCGAAAATTTATCATGACTTCACTAATTGATTATATCTACATTTACCTTGTCAGTTCATGTCACGTGGTCTAATAATTTATCCCCATCGCGTTACCATATTTGTGTCATATACAGTCGTTTTGTCTTATAAATTGACTAATAAATTGACATGCTGAACTTCGTATCGCCAACAATCACGTAGTGTTTTGTTTTGGTAATTAGCAAAGCTGTCATTCTAGTAATAAACAGTTGTAAGACCTTCCTCTATAATATGATCATTTTGTGATTGAATCGTTGAACGAATGTAAAGGTAGACGTTTAGTTTATGGTATCTTAAATCATAGGCACCAAGTTTCAACCCATGCAGTTGATGGTTTGCCATAATACTGATTATTGTATTATATTGAATAAATGCCATGCAATTTGAAGAAAAAGTCTTTGAAAGAAGAACCCATGAACATGCTTATTTGGCCGTCTTTAGTTGATAAAAATATTAAAAGATTTTCCCATAAGATTGTATGTGAAATCAAGTGATACAAGGGACGACCCAAGAAACTCTGAAGATAATGCTACACACCAAATATCTATGAGATAGGCATTGGAGTTTGGGATAAGAAGAATTTTAAAGCTTTTCCTATATTAACACACAATTATCAAAATGTTGCAAACAAGACAAAGGTCCCCATACCGGTTAGAATCTCACAAGAAGTAGGTCAGCAACATTTTGAAGGGCCATGATCATTCATTTATGCCATTGTGGTGGACATGAATGAACTTTTGAGTTCTTAGTTTGTCTGTTTTAATAAATGTGTTAAGTTTCCCCTGCTTAATAAGGAAAATATATTATATGGACGTTATCATATTAATATGATGTGACAATTTGAAGTAGATCCGCTAAGAAGTAAAAAAATAACAATAGAAAAAAAATCGAAGTTCAAGGGAAACATAATAAAGAATGGATCCTTTTTAAACCAAGGACCATGTTATATATAACTTTTGTAAAGGCCGACTAAAATGCCATATTTAAACAGATCTATGTAGATCTAGTTTCTGAGAAAATGTTTTTATATATTATACCTTACATTAAAAAGGTTCCTTCTTTGTTCATATTAGTGTCAGCGAACATTTAAAAAGTATAATATTCAGTGGTCCTGTCCAACAAAAATGCATGAGCGGGCACTTTTAAGTTTGGACCGCTAAAATAAGCGGTTATATGCAGGAATATTTTTTAAAAACAAGAGGATCATTATGTCCCTAATATCGCTCACCTGAATATTAATACTTTCCATGATAAAAAAAGTAATATTGTAAACTATAAACGAAAGCAGTCATAAAATCTGAATCATAAACTGACATAAAGTTCATATTTGACCCAGTGGTTGTAATTTGAACAATTTTTATTGAGGATCAGCAGACAATGTTTCATATCAAATGTATGAGCAAAAGCCTTTATAGTATAATAAAAGAAGTTCTTTTTGTTTTTAACATATACATATAAGGAAAATCAATGACCTGCTGCTATAACTTGAACAATTTCTTGGTGCCAAGCAAAGGACCTGCCTTACAAGTCGTCATTCAGGCTCATGCACCCTAGCACACCATCCTGGTTGACTCTGCCTACTCTGTAGGGCCACTCCCCTCGGCTTTAGCCAGGACACCGGCACTTAACTTCATGCAAGCTAAGTCATGCTGCCTTAAACGTAACTCCGAGCTGAAGAAAACATGAGAACGAGCTGAAGAAAACATGAGAACTTGCCGTCTTACACGTAGCATTGGTTCTTCTATCTGCCGATGTCCTGAGCCTTCTCGACAATATGCAAGTACCGAGGCAAAGACCCTAAAGCAGATTTAGACAGTCATGTTTATTTATATAAATGTTTTCTGGATATATATATATAGTCATTATAAATTCAAAGATAATAATTAAAATATTTATTTTCTTGAAAGCAAAACTTTATTTCATCTTACTAAAGGGAGATCATTTAGCCAGAATAAAATGCATAAATGTATATAAGCCTGTGTAAAATGAGTGAACCCAGAGGGCCATTTTTTATCCAAGGGTCATCAATTACATAACTGAAGTAGAGGATCCACAAGGAAATTCTTCTAAACTAAGTGACCCCTGGGGTCGGGCCAATTTTTACTCTAAAGCTACAATTGAACAAAATTGGTAAAGGTCCACTAGACAATGTTTCATACCAAATATCTAAGCTTAATTAAGCCTCTGTAGTATAATAGAATAATAATATCTGTCATATGTTGCGGTTCGGATCGGAATATCCGTCCCGAGGTGACCCGCCCATTGGGCGGTAACGAGGCTTGCCGAGTTACCGCCCATGGGCGGGTGACCGAGGGACGGATATTCCGATCCGAACCGCAAACATATGTCAGATATTTTTTCTTGCATATTCTACCATATTCCATTATGTTTTAAATTCTTTATCTTTATTTTCAATGGAAATTTATATCATGACAACCGTAACTACTTTTTTACAACAGCGTATGAAATTGCAACTTCATTCATAACGGTAAAATGACGTCATCCTAAGCGTGTCATTTTACAGCACGCGACTCATCTGGCACCCCCCATGCCAGATGAAATTCCCGGCATGGGTAAAACTAACGGAAACGCCAGTCTGCTATGCAAGAATAAGTTTTGTTTGTTTGTACTGCATGTATATACACATAAGGAAAATCAACGGCCAATTTTGGCTCCTGGGCTTTTATTTGAACAAACTTAGTAGACACCAACTAGAAGATGTTTCATGCTAAATATCTAAGCCCTAGATCTTTCGGATTTTTACAAGAAGATTTTTTTTGTTTATACTATATACATATGAGGAAAATCAATGACTCCCTGGGGCGGGCCAATTTTGACCTGGGTTTTTAACAAGCAGATTTGTTAAGGTTTTTCTTTTGGTTGCCATGGCAACCAGAATTTAGCATGGAATGGAATTCACTGAACAATTTTTAAAGAACTTTATGCCAGGAACATGCCAGCTCAGTTTAACAATATTGGCTTACTGGTATAGGAGATATTGTTTTAAGAAAAAGTTTGACCCCATTTTTTGAAGGACGCACAACAAACTGATGCAAAACAGACTATGGAGTGATCACAAAAGCTCACCCTTGAGCACTATGTGAGCTATAAGTGCAAAATATAAGTGGAATTCCAATAATTTTCAGTACATTTTACATTTAATTTTGTGATATATAATGATATACTAGTAATCATCTTCTTTATCTAAATGAAGAGAACAAAGTCTTATAAAGCAATATATTGTATTTCATATGATCATAAATGAATTCATAAAGTTAACAGATCTTTAAACAATAACTAGGTTTGTGTTTTCCACCACTGTCTGTTGTATCACAAGTCAATTTCCCAGTTACATGTATGTAACAGGTTTAAAAACTCTTCCATAGATTTACACCTGTTTTAGTCGTATTTTGTATATGTTAATAGTGATTTTTCCCCTGTATTTTACAGCCGAATAAAGGGTGTTTCCCCTAGCCCAAAATAGGTATATTTTCCCCTAAATATGCTAATATTTTCCGCTAAAATGCCCTGTGCACATTCTTCACGAGAGCAGCAGACTTATACCAGCTACACATGTAGAAGACAAAAAGCTGTCCTTACAGATAGCCTCTGCTATGTACCATGCATGTTAAATTTAACTGAAATTGAAAATTTTATAAAATGTGTGGGTAAATTTCGTTCTCAGTTGTTGGAATTTGATTTTTCCTTTTTCTGATTACACACACTATATTTTTACCTTCAGAAAGCCACAGGTTATTTTGAAAATTGAGAAAAAAACATTGGTTTATGATTATATCTGACCAGGTTCATGTAACAATAACAAGATCCTTAATTTTTGTATGTTTATTATATCACATGCTATCTGACTAGATACTTTTCTATTACCACTGCATTCTGTGAAAATTTTATGTTTCCATGAACTTCTTATTCCTGCTACACAATGAATCCCTAACCTGTCTTATTCTAATTATAAGATTAGTGGATTCACTAAATCACATTAAAATATTGTCCTTTATAAGACCCATGATGGTGTCACCCACTTGTTATAACTATGTTACAATGTAGGTGATTTATTTACAGGTCCAGGAGAGTCAGATTTTGTAAGATGATGTCCATGTTTTTCCCACATGTCAATAGCTTTCCCTACTAACACATCACCACTATCCTCTGGTATCTGAAACAGTAGAGAATCTTTATTTACCACCAGGTAGTGCTACATACCAGGCACATAAATTATAAAAGTTTATTGTGACCAATTATAATGTAGATATAAACAATTTGTCATATATTGCCATATCATAAAAAAGCACACATAACACATGATGAAGTTCTGTGGGTGATAACATGTGGATAAATTTAATTTCTGTGAGTGTTTACTTGTGGGTAATGTACTAAAAGGTTGATGAAGTTATGTGGGTGTTAACATGTGGGTAATTTACTAAAAGGTTGATGAAGTTCTTTAGGTGTTTACTTGTGGGTAATGTACTAAAAGGTTGATGAAGTTATGTGGGTGTTTACATGTGGGTAATTTACTAAAAGGTTGATGAAGTTCTTTAGGTGTTTACTTGTGGGTAATGTACTAAAAGGTTGATGAAGTTATGTGGGTGTTTACATGTGGGTAAAGTATTAAATTTTTTTTATAAACATGTACATGTGGGTAAAATGTTAAAAGGATGGTAAAGCTCTTTGAGTTTATAAAAGGTTGGTAATACATTGAATGGAACTTGAGTGGTAACACTGACCCGAAAGCCAGGGGTAACAATTACCTCACAATGATGAACATTTTTGCAAAGTTATATAACACTAATAACACTATCTCAATGCATGTAGAAATTGCACAATTGACAAATCGTTTTGTCTGACCTCTTACTTTGACCTTGACCTTCATCTAAAGACCTTGATTGTATGTACAACACTACATCTCATGTCAGTGTCAGTTAATACTAAGATCCCTCCATGCATGAAGTAGATATGTATTCTGTGGACAAAGTCTTTAAATTCAGTCACCTCTGATGACCTTGAGCTTGCATTATGTTTACAATACTCAGTCTCATAATTGTGAGAATTTGTGATATAATCCCTTAATTCAAGACTACAATGTTGTTGATACACACAATTTCATGTTTTTTTAATGACTTTCTTAATTCAAGACTACAATGTTGTTGATACACACAATTTCATGTTTTTTAATGACTTTTGACATTTATGTGTGTACAGCCTTGACCATAGGGACATATATTTTGTATGTGACACTGACCAACAATGGTTGACGTTTGTGCCAAGTATGTAAAACAGAAGAACTTTTGATCCAGAAAACCATTTTGCTCTCTTGATTTAAGTGTGACCTATGACCTAGAGATTTGGTGCTTGCAACAAAAAGTATTATGGTGGTGGTTACTTGGACCTTACATAAATTGACCTAGATTAGTATGACTTGGTCTTACAATATTTTTGATACTATTCCACAAGTTAAGACTACAAAATTGCCCTGACCTTTGACCCCTATGTGCCTCCTATCATGTGTGCAACACAAAGTCTCATAGCAGTGAACATTTGTATCAAGTAAGACAAAAATCGTTCCATGCATGTAGAACCATAACTGGTGCAATTCACACTACTATTAAATTGCTTTGCTATATTTAGCTGCTGCTTTGTCTGTGAACTAGTTATACATTTATTATTATTGAATGTATACACTAAATATGTGAATTGTACAGTCAAAATAATGTACAGTCAAAATAATATAATTTGCAAAACATGGCAGTTAGCTTTGGGTAGAAAATATTTTTTAAGATTTGTAAAACATAATTTTTTTATATATAAAAATCCCATTTTTGAATACTATATAAATCTGCTCCCATGGAATGTTTTTTCTTTCTTTTTCAACATTATATATTGTGTTTATGATTACGTATGTCTTCTTTGTAGTTGTTATGTTGAAAACACTAACATAACTTTGTATGTTCCTTAATTGGGATAGATGTATGATATTGTGAGTGGAAGTGGTGCATGGTTCCCCAACCCCACTTTCCACAATGAAGGGGAAAATAAATGAGTAACTATGTTGCTGAAATTAAATTGGTGCAATTAATAAAAAAACAAATCACTCTATCAAATACATAATTTGATAAACTAGAAGTTATTACCTCAGCAAGATATTTGAGCATTTCTTCTCGAGATTTCATACTCAGTAAAGGTCTTCTAAGAGTGATAAACAAAGCCACTGCTATATAGATCAATATCATAACTGAACCACCAATTAGTATATCTCCAATCCTGAAAATATTACAGAATTATTTAACAGAAATATTTTATTAACAAATAATCATTATTCACCATTACTAGTATTTCATAACATATCAAGTATCTTAATTTTCAACACTAGATTGGAGACAGAAATAGAGCATTGCATGCAGTGATAATACTAGTCTATTTAACATTATTTATAAATCTTCGATGTCAAAGAGACATAACTCCTAAAAATATTGCCTTTAGAATAATATCCGTTGTCTAAAAACAGTGCCTTGTCATGACAAGTGTCCCAAGTTTCATGTTGATAGCTTTGATAATCCTACTTCAAAGACAATTCAGACAAAATTCCAAGATAAAAAGGGGCATAACTCCTGAAAAAATATCAAGAGGCTATGATAGGTAGTTACTGAGAAAACTGTTGCGAAAATTTCCTACCATTATACATTAAGTCGAAAATTTAACTAAGTCGGCAAACAGGAAGTGGATAAGCTACAGACCTGAAATTAAATCCCACCTTTTGGGATCACATGTTACTGGTGTATACCAAGTATCAAGAAGCTGTAATAAGTAGTTGCTGAGAAAACTGTTACGAAAATTTCCTTCCACTGACCATAATGTCGAAAATTTAAGTAAGTCTGCAATCAGGAAGTGGATAAGCAACAGACCTGAAATTGAATCCCACTGTATGGGACCACATGTTACTGCTGTATACCAAATATCAAGAGGCTGTGATAAGTAGTTGCTTAGAAAACTGTTACAAAATTGTTTCCCTCACCTGCCCGCTGCCCAATGTTCACCATACTTTAACCCAGGTGTGCAACCCTGCCAATAAAATTCATTAAAGGGACATTACTCTGACAATAACCATTGAATCGAAAAGAGTGTTGATGAGATGCACCACTAGACATTGTTTTGATGAAAATGCACCAGTTGTTTCTGAGTATCCAAACAAGTAGCTGGCAACACAAACAAGAGCGATCAGTAATCACATGTGTCGCCTCATAATGGCCAATTTCATGTTGGGACAAATTTTGTGACAGACGGACAGACAGACGGACAGTGCACAACTAGACTAAGTACTGATCAATCATGTAAAGTTTGGATAAAATTGCACCAGTAGCTTATGAGAATTGTCCGGACAAGCTTTTGCGTATCTGGCAACACACAGAAAAAAACACCTTTTTATCAAAGGGCCATAACTCGGCCAAAAATCATTCAACCGGAAAACCCGTGCAATATGCGCAAGGACTTGAGCTACAGATCAATCCTGTAAAGTTTCATTGAAATTGCATAAGTGGTATAAGAGAAGTAGTCTGGACAAACTTTAAAAATAAAAATTATAAAAGAGCCATAACTCAAACAAAAATCATTGAACCGGAAAATGCTGACAATATGCACAACTAGACTTGGTACTGATCATTCCTGTAAAGTTTGGATAAAATTGCACCAGTAGTTTATGAGGAGTAGTCCGGACAAGCTTTTGCGTATCTGGCAAACACACAAAAAAAGAAACCTTTTTATCAAAGGGCCATAACTCGGCCAAAAATCATTCAACCCTAAAAATCCGTGCAATATGCGCAAGGACTTGAGCTACAGATCAATCTTGTAAAGTTTCATTGAAATTGCATAAGTGGTATAAGTGTAGTCCAGACAAACTTTAAACATAAATTATTAAAGGGCCATAACTCTGACAAAAATCATTGAACCCAAAAATGCTGACAATATGCACAACTAGACTTGGTACTGATCATTCCTTTAAAGTTTGGATGAAATTGCACCAGTAGGTTATGAGGAGTAGTCCGGACAAGTTTTGTGACGGACGGACGGACAGACGGACAGACAGACAGACAGACAGACGGACAGACGGACAGACGGACAGACAGACGACGGAGAAGTGATCCCTATATGTCGCCACTACTCCGTAGAGGCGACACAAAAAACACCTTTTTTATTGAAGTGCCATAACTCTGCCAAAAATCATTCAACCGGAAAACCTGTGTTATATGCGCAAGTACTTGACCTACTTATAAATCCTGTTAAGTTTCAATGAAATTGCATCAGTGGTAAAAGAGGAGTATTCCAGACAAACTTTATTAACACCTTTTTAATGAAGGACCACAACTCTGCCAAAAATAATAAATGTGCAAGTAATATGTGCGTTGCCTTTGCCTTGCATTTAGATGCTTTTTGTGTTTGTAAATACAGTCAAATGCCATCATTATCTCTCTTTATGCCTCAGCAAATCTGGAATCTTTTCAAATATCTCAGTTTGGTCTTGTTGTTTATTTTAGTGTTTTTCTTCTTCTTTTTTTCTTGTTTGTATTTTGAGGATGAGAGACATGATGCCAACCAAAAGAACACATTTAAGTACAACAAGTTCAGACGAGCCAAACTGTCAAAAATTATAAGGCAAAGCCCCTGACTGAGACAGATCAACCAAAAAGTATATGTCTGCCAGTTCACCAGGGATAATAAGCTCCATAAATACATACATGTTAATATCCTATTTCTATTTGACAACTACCTTTCAAAAGAAGATTCAGGTAAAATAGAAGCAAATCCACAATAGAGCCAGTCTGTTAGAGGTAAAGCTTTCCACATGTCATGCTTATCAAAGTGTGCTATCAATTTCTGGTCACCATCTTCCTTCTTCAGTGATGCTTTTACTTTCTCTACCTTCAAAATAAACATACTGTCCTAGCACAGAACTTAAATCTTTACTAGCTTAAACCGAAAGTGAGCAACTTTTGCTGGCAATTATAGAGCCCGGCTACGCAGCACATCTATGCAGTCTCTACAGGTGACAGTCTAACTTTTAATATCCATCTTGATATACCCAAATTTGATAATGGACAGTTAAAACTAGAAATGTGTCCATAGGACACGGATGCCCCCACACGCCACTGTTCTCTCAATATTATGACTCTAGGTCAAATATTTTTTGGACTACATGTGCCAAAAGTTGAAAACTAAAAATCAACAAAGGGCCATAATTCTGTTAAATTTGGTCGCAGCAAAAATTCCTTTCTTTACTACCATCTACACATTAAGGTTGTTAATCCCTGGAAGTTAAAGCAAAATCTGCCATCCGGTTTAAGAGGAGTTGCATTCACAAAATTTCTACATAGTATATAGTGTAAAAATCAACAAAGGGCCATAATTCTGTAAAATTTGGTCGCAGCGAAAATTCCTTCCTTTACTACCATCTACACCTGAAAGTTGTTCATCCCTGTAGGTTTAAGCAAAATCTGCCATCCGGTTTAAGAGGAGTTGCGTACACAAAATTTCTACATAGTATCTAGTGAAAAAATCAACAAAGGGCCATAATTCTGTTAAATTTTGTCGCAGCGAAAATTCCTTCCTTTACTACCATCTACACATTAAGGTTGTTCATCCCTGTAAGTTAAAGCAAAATCTGCCATCCGGTTTAAGAGGAGTTGCGTTCACAAGATTTCGGGACGTACGAACTGACGGACGGACTGACGGACGGACGGACGGACAAGTGCAACGCTATATGCTCCCACATTGTGGGGGCATAAAAATGTGAGTTGGTCAAGTCAATTGAAGAAATTAAGCAGGATATGGTAAACAAGAGGTGCTGAAATGGCTCACCTTAACATAAAATACTCTCCATGACAAGGAACAAGTGAAAATGTAAACTATAAACAAAGGCAGATATAAAATCTAAATCTTAAACTGATATCACAAAGTTCATATTTGTATCTGAAATAGTGCAAGACTGTGTAATATCTTTGTTATACTGGTTGCTTTTGATATGGGAAACAACAGTTCCAAAACAGTTCCAAAAGATATGTAGATATAATAACAAGAGCTAGGTGGAGCATTATATGCCCAATAGAGTTTTTTTTAGTAAGGATGAAGCATTTGTAAGACATGGGAATTAAATAAAGTATTACCTCCTTCAAAAAGTAATCCTCCTTTACAGCTGAAGAACCTTCATATATATAAAGTTGCTGTTTCCATAGCACCACCATCAAGTTGTTATCTTGTAAGTTAAAATGCTATGACGGATGGACGGAAAGACACCAGGGGTATAGCATAATATAAGCACATTTTTTAGGGCATATAATTAATGTACTCAATATAAGTGATCATCCTATGAAGTTTGACAGTTGTAAAACTGTTAACATTATTAAGGTCATTTGATATTGACCTTTGACCTTGTGACTCCAATACAGATATGGATCTTTCATTCAATATAGGCAATCATCCTATTAAGTTTGAACACTGTAAGCCAAATGGAACTTGTGTTAAGCTTCAGAAAGCACAATTTTCAGTGTTAAGGTCATTGTGACCCTGACCTTTAATCTTATGACTCTAAAATCAATAGGGATCATGTATTGGGCATGGCTGTTAATCCTATAAATTTTACAGCTGTAGGTTGATTAATACTTAAGTTATTGAGCGAAAACCGTTTTCAGTTTTAAAGTAATAGTGACCTTGACCTTTGACATTGTGACCTAAAAATTAATAGGGGTCTTCTACTCAATATTGACACTCATCTATGAAGTTTGAACACTGTGGGCCAAATGGAACTTAAGTTATGCTCCAGAAAGCACAATTTTAAGTGTAAAGATCATTGTGACCCTGCCTTTGACCTAATGACCCTAAAATCATTAGCGGTCATGTATTAGACATGGTTATTCATCCTATCAAATTTTACAGCTGTAGGTTGATTAATACTTAAGTTATTGAGCGGAAACTGTTTTCAGTTTTAAAGTAATAGTGACCTTGACCTTTGACCTTGTGACCCAAAAATAAATAGGGGTCTTCTACCCAAAGTGAACAATTATCCTATGAAGTTTCAATATTGTGGGCCAAATGCAACTTAAGTTATGCTTCGGAAACAGTTTTAAGGTAATAGTGACCTTGACCTTTAACCTTGTGACCCCAAAATCTATATGCCAACTTTGACCCCAGGGCTTTAATTTAAACAAACTTGGCAGACACTCACTAGAAGATGTTTCATGCTTAATATATAAGCTCTAGATATTTGGGTTTTTTAAAAGAAGATTCTTTGAGTTTTAACAATATACATTTATGGAAAATCAATGACCCCCCAGGGGGTAGGGGGTACAATTTTGACCCCATAACCTTTATTTGAACAAACTTGGTTAAGACACCCATTAGAAGATATTTCATGCTTATTTCTAAGCTCTAGCTCTTTTGGGTTTTTAAAAGAAGATTTTTTTTTTTAAAGATTTTACTATATATATTAAGAAATATCAATAACCCAATCAAGGCAGCACCAATTTTGACCCAAGGCCTTTTATTTGATTAAACTTGAAAGACACTAGAAGATGTTTCATGCCAAATACCTAAGCTCTTGCTCTTTGGTTTTTTATCAAAGAAGATTTTTAAGTTTTTTCTTTCGACTGCGAATTGGCAACCAGTGTTCTGCATGTAATTAAATTCTTTGATCAATTATTAAAGGTGATCATCAAAGGAACATTCATGTGAAGTTTGGATATAATCTCATTAGCAGTTAATGAGGAGAGGTCGCTTAAAGTAAAAGTTTACAGACGGACAATGGCCAGATGCTGATTGAATTGTAATCACAAAAGCTCACCTTGTCACTCTGTGATAGGTGAGTTAAAAAGAGAAAATCATATTGTTTATGTTATTAATGTTATACATGTTGTAATGATACAAAGTGGAACAAATAAAAGTAACAACCCAAAATCTGCCTTTTGTCAGTACTTTTAAACATACAGTTTTCAAAGCCATAAAAATACACATCATGTAAAATCCACTTTGGTATGTTTTAATATTATAAGTAAACAGTGTTGATCTTAGACTAATTTTTTACAGTGTCACTTGAACAACACACCATAAGTGACCACCTCATTATATTAATGAACATTTATGTCAAGTCATGTCAAATTCCTCCTTTTAACTATAGAGAAATGATCCAGTCAAGCTCTAGTAAATGAACTTTTAACATATGATGTCGTTTACTTTGACATTTGAGAAAGCCCTGGATTTGTGGTCAAATAGCATGTGTCATTGATCAACCATACTGCTTATATACTGCATATATATTGATTTCAAAATATTCAACATATTGTACATGTATAATGTTTATTCTAATTAAATCAAGATTCATCATCCTTTTAATTAATGCACTTTAAATTGAATTGATTTTCATTTGTTAACCACAAGTATAAAGTGAATTGGTCTATAATGTAAGGTCTATAATACAATGAATAATTATGTTGATAGTATTTAGTGTTAGACATAACAACAATTTCCATGAAGGAGTTGTTGTCAAGTGTGTGATACATGATCCATTATTACATATATTAATATAGCAGATAATAAAGTGTTGTAGAACAAAATATTATTACTCATCACAAAAATTGGTCATTCTAAATCATACAGAACTTTATCAACATTTTTTTCAAGCATCATTTTATAAAACTATCTAAATGATACATTTCTATCGTTGTATCAATATTTGAAAATGGAAAATGTGCCCATTGTTGACCTATCCAGATTAATAAGCAACAGTATCTAAAGAACTGTAAACAATTGAAATGTTTTGTTCACAATCATGAAATTTCTATGAGTGAATGAAATCAACAATGCAATTGTAAATGTGCACCTTATTATAAACATTGGGTTACTTATAGACTTGGCTTTTACACAATCTAATAGGAAATTATTTCTTATAAAAATCAAAGTTGAATAAGATTGTGTTTGTGAACAGTAGATGTCTGTAGGACAGCACCGCTCGACTATTCTAGTGCTTGAATAGTAAAAGTCTCAGCCTTGATAATGTAAATTTCCTGAGTTAATAACAAAAGGACAACATTTTTGTATAATTCCATGTTACAGTTATAGGCCTTGGAGAGAGTCCTGTTATGCTCTCAAAGAAGAGTATATTAAATTTCAACTTGTTTCCATAGAATATGAACATATCCGAGGTGACAGATATGCAAACCATAATACAAATTGATTCAATGAAATATTTGAGGTATTACAAAAACTTAAACGTAAATACTTAAAATAAGTTGAAAATGGGGTATAATTCTGTCAAAATGCTTGATACAGTTACCTTCTCCTGTCTACAGGTTTGGGTCATGATGGTGAACAAGTGTGCAAAATTTCAAAGCCATTATTTCAATGGACTTTGAAAATATTTGAGGTCGTACAAAAACTTTAACGTAAATTCTAAGTCAAACAAGAGCTGTCGGTAGGACAGCAACGCTCGACTATTCTTAGTGCTTGATAGTAAAAAAAAATGCTTGATACAGTTACCTCCTCCTGTTTACAGGTTGGGGTAATGATGGTGAACAAGTGTGCAAAGTTTCAAAGCCATATGTCAATGAACTTTGAAAATATTTGAGGTATTACAAAAACTTTAACATAAATTCTAAGTCGAAAAAGGGGCATAATTCTGTCAAAATGCTTGATAGAGTTACCTCCTCCTGTCTACAAGTTGGGGTCATGATGGTGAACAAGTGTGCAAAGTTTCAAAGCCATATGTCAATGGACTTGGAAAATATTTAAGGTATCCCGGGTGTAGATTTTCCAGGGTAAGCCTGGAAGAGAGGCTGGTAAACCCTGGAAAACTATGGAAAAGCATGGAATTCCATGGAAATTCATGGAAAATTGGTATTTTTTCCATGCTATGTGGACTTTTTTTATCCAGC